TTAGGTTCTGGTGGACATACTTCCCTTAAGGCTATGTGGAGGCCAGGACATAGAATCGTGAAAATACTTGCTATTAGACAGGTAATGCTGGTTTGAAAATGTCATGGCCTGTTGTGGTACACAGGGGTTGTCATATAGAAGAGGGGCCCAGGAAGAGAGGCAGGGCCGCTGGGGAGTCTAGAGGGAGGACAGTCCTTTCCCAGACAGAGTCATCCCATAATGGAAGAGACTATCCTGGAGGGAGAATCTGAGCAGGGACTAAATGAGCAGCAGTCATCTGGTACTTGGAGCAACGAGGGCTTTTCTGGCACTGATGTCACACTGAGGATGAAGCTGTAGATGACATGGGGCCATTGTGGGCCCCATGCTGCTCCCAGATTACTGGATAGACATTAGAAGGGCTCTGGTGGCCAGAACCTGAGGAATACAAGAGAAACGACCCAGCACTGAGATGCTAAGGTTGGGAAATGACATCATACAAACAATTGTGTATTAGCATTTCCACTCTGCTTCTGGCTGCTTCATGCCTCTGTTGCGATATGATAAGCCATGTCAAGGCTTAGTGGCTCAGAACAATGACTGGTCCTGCATCCGTGGGCCTCCTGGGTTGTTTAGCTGACCTCACTGGGCTCCCTCACACAGCTGCATTTGACTAGTGGGTCAGCCAGGCCCAGGTCAGCTGGTCTTTCTCTGCCCTGGCCTCTTAACCATGAAGCAGTCCAGCCTGGGCCCTGACATTGCAGCTGGGCTGGGCCCTGAGGGCTGAGAGAGAAGCTGCAAGGACTTGAGGTCTGGGCTCCAGGACCTCACAGCTTGCCTCTGCCATCTTCACTGGACAAACAAGACAGCAGCCAGCCCAGAGAGGGGCGGGGCAGGGAGAAACAGGTTTCACCTTTGATGGAGTGTGTAAGTCAGACTTTCCATCATTGTGACAAATGCCTGAGAAAAGCATCTTGAGGAGGAGAGATTTATTTTGGCTCATGGTTTCATGGGTCTCAGTCCATAATCAGTTAGTTCTGTTGTGTCCAGGCTGTGGTAAGGCAGAGCATCATGGTAGAAGGGCATGGAGAAGTACAGTTGCTCACCTCGTGGAGGCGAGGAAGCAGGGATGGAGGAAGGGGTGGGGATAAGGTATGTCTTCTCAGGTCATAGCCCCAGGGACCCACTTCCCCAATGCTCTCACATTATGAATCTATTAAGGGATTAATCCATTGATTAGCTCAGAGCCCCATGGTCCAATCACTTCCAAAAAGCCCATCAGCTGGCAAGCAAGCTCCCCAACTAACGAACCTTGGGGGGACATTTCATATTCAAACCCTATCATGTAGGGGGTGTAGCTCAGGGGTGCAGCATTTGACTGCAAACTCTATCACGTAGCCACACCCAAAGGGCTCTCTGTGTTCTGGAAAAGGAAGAACTGATGCTGTTAAAAAGCTACCTCATTGGCTTTCCCAGACAGAGTCCAGAACCTTCTGGGTTGGTGTCAGGACCTAATTTCCTTCTCTCCTGCACTACTCACCAAGTGACATGGAACAGATGCTCCCTTCTCTCAGCCTCAGTTTCTCTGTGTGTATAGTGGGGGGCTGGCAGAGTGAGTCTCTGGCACTATGCATGGGGGTGGGTGAAACTTGGACCACTGACTTGTATTCAAACCAGGGAAGTAGAGACCAGGCAGTAGAAGAAACTGCCACCCAGACACATGCCCAGTGGCCCACTACTTCCCAGACCTCCTCCTCTGTTGACAGGTACTGTCCCTGACCATTCCCAGTGCCCTTCCCCATGGCAATGTCAGCTGTCACTCAGAGAACACATGACTCAAGCAGCCAACCAATTCCTTTGCTGGAACTGACACAGAGAACCAAGAGACAGAGCTCATTTGACTGGATTCCTAACCAGGCCTGTACTCAGCCTCTTCCTAGGGGTAGCAATGAGGCTGTAAGCAGAATGAGTTTTAGACCCATAGTGCCCTAGAGGCCTCCAGGGCCTCCAAGTCACTGGCCAGCAGCCTGAGCTAGCCAATCTCTCTGTGTCAGCCAGTTGGGGTCAAGTTTCTCTCCTGGAGCTGAAAGAGACCTGAGAAACACAAACACAGTAGCCTAAGCAGCCTCCAGCACCATTAAACAATGGAGGGTAGAAATGAGGTTGCTGCAGACATGACGGTGGTGTTTTGTTATGCACACCCAGGAGAGAAACTTCTCCCGCCAGGCCCTGGTCTGCCCTCCATGGCTGTGATACAATTTTTTTTCTTTTTTTTTTTTTGGTGGTACTGGGGTTTGAACTCAGGGCCTCATGCTTGCTAGGCAGGCGCTCCACCACTTGAGCCACTCCACCAGCCCCCCATGGCTGTGAAATAACAATGTCTCCCTTGAGGTCTTAGGAGGGGGACAGGGTCCCTCCACAAACTCCCTGACAGACCTGGGGCTCAGTCACACCTGAGAGGTGCCCGCCTGGCACATGGGGTGCTTTCCTATCTGTTAGCTCCTTGAAACCTTGAAAGGAAGGAGTGCTTGGCTTTCGCTCCTGTTGTTCAAATGATGGAACCAAGGATCACAGCAGCTGAGGGGCTTCCTTGGACTCCCACAGTGGGTAAAAGAAGGAAGTGAGTGAGAGGCCAGGTGCTCTGATGGCACGCTGGTGACACACCTGCTGCTAGTCAGCTCCCTCGCCCCTTGCCTGGAAGATCTGGCCCCATGATGCATGCCAAGCCCAGGCAGGGAGACAAAGGCTTTGACCTCTCTGCTCAGACCCCTGCTCACCTGGCTTCCCAGGCAGGCCTTTCTCAGAGCCCCATGGTACTGGAAACCACACCCTGGGCCCTCTTGATGTCCACCTGGGAAGGAGTGGGAAGACTTCTGCCAGCTTTGTCCAGGACCAAGAGTGAGGATCTTTAAAACCCCTCACTCACCTATGGATGGTGACTGGGGCTCAGAGAGAACAAATAATCACCGAGTAAGTCAGAAGCAGAACTCAGCACTAAAACCCCTTCTCCTCACCACCCCCCCAACCCAATCCATGGCCCCACAGAAACAGCCAGCTGGCACCAACCATCTCCACCAAGGCTTTGGCCTCAAGAGAAGGAAGCAGAGGTGGGTGAAGGGGTCAGTAAAGGTCTGCTTGGGGAACAGAACTGTGGCCGTCCCCCACCATGTTCTTTCAGCCTGGAGGCCTCCCTAAGCAGTGCATGTGCAGGGTGGGGCTGGACAGGCGTGTGTCAGCCGCCCCCCCCACAATGGCGTCAGGCAGGTGCTGAGAGAGTAGCCAGCAGGAAGCCCTAGGCAGGACTGGGCGATCCGATAACCATACTCATGAGCCCACCCCCCCGCAACAGCAGCCCAGGGGTGTGCCAGCCCTGCCCTGCCCTGCCTAGAACCTTGTCCTCCCCGAAGAGGCCAGCACAGATAGCCAGCACAGGCCTGACCCTGAAGAGGGCTAAGCAGAGGGAAGGGGAACAAAAAGGGAAGGGGAAAGGTCAGTGGAATCTAAAGATGAAAAATGTCTGTCTCTCAAGTGTGTCAGGAAATACTCTGCTAACAGCCTTCTTATTGTATGCATAGGGAGACCTTGGCCTCTTGCCAGGGTCCAAGCTTTTAATGCTACTTTCCTCCCACTCTCATCTCACAGCATGGTGCCCAGCCCTAGCACCCAGACCTTTATCTGCAGGACACAGCTGAGCAGCCGGGAGGGGCCAGGCTGGGCATCTCCTGGCTTCCATCAATCCCATGTGACATGGGAAGTCACTATTCTCCCACCTGTTCATTGCAGGTACGACTGGAGTGGACTCTGAGCTAAAGAGACCTGGGTTCTGGTATTAGCTCCAGTGCTTGCGAGCATCTTCCTTTTGAGCCTTCGCTTTCACATCTGTAAAATGGAGCTACTAATCCTGACTGTGGAGAATGTACAGGATTTTGAAGGATTGTATTATTCCCATTTTATGGGTAAGAACACTGAGTTTCAGTCTAAGCTTAAAATAAAATTGGGCAAAAATCAGTTTTGGAACCCAAAATCTATATTGTGATTTCAAGTCCCTTTCTGGAGCCAGTGGATTTCTGGCAGAAGCATTGTTTATGCAAATGTATGGGATAGCGTCTTAATTAGACAGAGGCCAACTAGAATGGCTCTGAGCCTGGTGACTCTGGTGGCCAGAGTGAGTCGGGGTAAGGGAGCTAAGGACACTTTGTCCCCAGCCTTTGGGTAGAACAGTCTTCTTTTTCTAATTCCTAAATATCCCACTGCCTTCTGTCCTAAATTGCATTTCTCTTTGTAGTAATGGGCTAGATTATCCTTGAGAACCTTCTGAGGTTGGAGCCCCTTAGACGGGAGACAGAAGTCCAAGGAATCATAGCGCCTATGGGCAGTTAGAAATCACAGGGTCTCCCCGAAGGGGTGGGGAGAAGGGAGCTGTGGCTGGCGCGCAGGTCTGGTCAGGGGAGGCCAGGTGATGGGGGAGAGTAGTTCAAGCCCCACCGGTTACACCCACAGGAAACTCTCTCTGTCCACTTTAGCTTCTGAAACCTGTGCTAGGGGTTAGGGTAGGGGGTTGGTGCCCAGAAGTGTCTCCAACAATCACCCCAGCGGCTAGGATGCCTGACCAGGCTTGGGGACCACTTACAGTGCGCTTCGCAGAGCTGAGTCCCCAGCACCTCCTTTCTCCTGAGAGGAGCACCTAGTGATGCCAGGGTCCAGACTCAGACCCAAATCCGACTTCCCTCTGGCTGGTTAAGGTTCCTGAGAGGATTCGAAATGGGCCTTACTTGCGCCCGACTGACACGCAGTAGGCATGCAACAACACTCCGGCTATGTGTACTGTCACCAGGTGCGAAATCTCCTGGAGCGCAGGGCGGGCGCAGCGGGTCCCAGGCGTCAGCAGGAACCACGCCCCCGCCCCCCACCCCGCATGCCCAGGCAGCCACCCGGTGGGGTTTCTGCGCGCTGACGTGGGCGGATCAAAGAGGCCGCCCGTGCCTTATAAAGCAGTTGGGGCTGCTTGCGCCGCAGATCGCGCCCGGCCCAGGGAGAGCTGCAGCTAGCAGGGAGTCGCCCGCCGCTTGCCAGGATCGCCCGCGTCCTTCTCCGGCCACTCCACCAAGAGGGCGCCCTCTGCTTGCTCTGCCCAAGTGCGCTCCAGCCCACAGGGGGCCGCGCTTGCCGCTCCCAAGGCCGGCGAGGGCAGCGGGGCACGCAGGGCGGGTCCGGAGAGCGCTCGGAGAGGTGAGCAGTGGTCTCCGACAGCAGGAAACGCTCATCGGGGACCCTCCAGGGCTGGGAGTTCCCGAACCCGAGGGACTGTCCTTCTCGCCCCCGCCGCGGACTCCTTGGGCACCCACTCCGGGGAAGCAAACCAAGCGCTCCTCATACCTCCCTTCCACCCCACTGCAGAGCGCTGAGACCGCGACCTGGGGACAAGGGCTGGAAGGGGATGCTAGACTGGGTGGGCTGCGCAGTTCCCGCGACACTCCCCAGCTCTCCGGCCCTGTCCCCCACCCCAGGACTCGACCCCCTCCCTCCCAGTCGGTCGGCTGATGAGGTCATGCCCTAGCCATCCCGGGGTGGGGGACTTGGATCCCGCGTTCGAGGGTGTGTGTGGAGAGGCGCGAGAGGGTGGTAAAAGGCAGAGAAATTCGGCAGACCCTATCAAATCCGGAGATAGGGAACGGAATCCTTGTTCTGAAAACCGCTCCTAAAGTCAGCAGGGGTAGTGGGGGAACCGAGTTTGTTTACAGACCTGAGCTCCAGGCTGGGGGGGCGGGGACGAGGAGAGTTCTGTCCCCCGCCCCGTGGCAAATCTGGAGCCGCCTGAGACATCTGGCTGAGCGCGCACAAGCCCCACACCTTCCACCCGCGGCGCTGAGGTGCCTCGGTGTCCCTCACAGCCCTTGGGCGCGAAGGATCGGACTCCAGGGAAGTAGTGGGAGGGATCCCGATCTCCCCACCTTTCCTTCGCATTTCCAATACCGCGTCTCCGCGGTGACGCGACGAAGCGTCCGCAGCCCTGCGGACAGATCCAAAAAGACTCGCGCCTGGGGTCAAAGCTGGGTTGTGGGCCTAGGCTCGCTCCGCCCTGCAGGTAACCTTGAAGCCGTAGCTGGGCGTCCCTGGCTTGCCCGATCCGCTTTGAGAGCGGCGCCGCCGGAGCTCCTGCACCGGCCGGCTCCGACTTTACTCGCGGTGTGGACACTGTCCCAGCGTGTGGCAACAGCTCCCGGCCCAGCACCGGTGCGTCGGGGTTGCGAGGCTCTGTTACTCCTCGTAGGCTAGTCTCAGAGGGGAGGCTGCCCCAGGGCCGAGGTTTCTAGGGACCTCCTCAGCCCAAGCTTTTTATGACCACCTGTTGGAGCCGCGGGGCTGGGGTGACTGCGGTCGCGGTGTCCATCGTGTGCACAACCTGGGACGGCCCACTCCGTCTGTTGCAGGCGGGATAGCTTGGACCAGTTGCCCCGCGGGGGGAGGAAGGGACGTCTCTCTCTCCATAGAACTGCGCTTTGACGCCGGCCCACTACGCGCCTGGCTCAAGGGCAGCCCCGCGCCGGGCCTGAGCAAAGCTTGGGCAGTTCAGGGCTGACCAAGGCAAGTGGGTGTCTTATAGAATGACTAGGGCCGAGAGGGCACTCACTTTACACTTCACTCCATCCCTAAATTGGGACACTAGGGCCCAGGAAGAGGAGCGGGCTTGCCCAAAGTCCCACCGCGCGAGAGGCCCCTGCAGATCCCACTTTGTACCCCGGCTTAGCGCCCCCTGGCGGGCCGGGGGCTCTGGGAAGCCAGTGCGACCTTATCCTCAGTACGCAGGCTGAGGGTGACCAAGCAGCCGGTGTGGCTGTCCTGGACGTTCTTACTTGGGCCAGAAATAATCTGTCAGGACCCAGAGGCCCAGGCCGAGAGCTGCCTCCTCCGGCGACCAGCTGCGGTGGTGAAAGAAGGTCTGGGACCACTGGGGTCGTCCCATAGAGCAGGGAGTAGCTGGAGACCCGGGTCCCCGTCCATTGGGTGACCTGGGCGACTTCTCCTTTTCTTGGGAGAGTTGGGACCTTGAGCCTCCTTCCTCGTGCAGCCCCTGCTCCCTCCCCACCCAGGAATTCTGGGCGCCTTGCGGTGAGCCTACGCTTTAGGAGGAGGGACAGTGACTGAGTTTGATTCTCCCCCCCCATCCCGCGCATCCAGCAGGTATTTTTTCTCGTTTTGGGGAGAGACCCCAGCCTGAATGTCCGTGCTGGAACCCTTAGCTGGGGGACTCTGCGGAGGGCTGGGGCGGGGGGCGGGGAGGAGAGTAATTTTTCTCCTTGCCTTCCTCTGGGCTATGCTGGAAGGAACCAGAAAACAGGGTTTCAAACCGGTGTGTGTGTGTGTGTGTGTGTGTGTGTGTGTGTGTGTGTGTGTGTCGCATGAAGCGCGCGCGCGCACACACACACACACACACACACACACTCTGGAACAGGTATACCCAATAGTGGGAACAGGCAGAGGGGAGCGCAAAAGGACTCATAGGCAGTTGGGAGGTGGAAAGATCTCGGGAGATGCGTGGAATCCAGTCCGTTGTCGTTATAGAAGGAGAAACGGAGGCCGGGGTGGTTGAAAGCTTCCCCAGGTTCACAGAGTCAGATAAAAAAGCGCTGTTCGCGTTCCAGCGCCCCCCACTATGTCTGGAGCCTCCTTTTTCCAACTCCGCAAACCCTTTAGAAAGGAATCCCTTTGTCTTTGCTCCTCAGGAGGGGAGAGGGGCTGGGGCTGTGTATGACTTCGGGCGAACGCCAGGTGTTGGTAAATTTGGGAGAAGCTGGGAAGGGAGTTAATGAGGTGAGAATGAAGAGGGGGAAAAGCCGCAGAAAGCCGCTCTGCGGGCTGCGGGCGGGCGGGGCAGAGGTTCCTCTGCGGCCCTCGGGCGTCACCTGGCGGCCGGAGGCGGCATCGTGCTGGCCCCGAGCTTCCCCTGCTCGGCCAGGGCCAGGAGGCCAGGACCTGGCCACTAATGTGGGGTGGCTGACTCGGAGGTCCAGGACCCTGAGCAGCCCTCCATGTGTAAAGAACGTTGCCATCCCATTTCTCATCCTCCCCTTCCCAGACTAAGAAACCGATGCCCACAGCGAGCCCCCATCTCTTGTCTTCTCCCAGTCTTTATCTCACCGGATACAGGTAGACATGAGAGCAGATGGCCCAGCACCGACCTGCCGCTCACTAGCTGAAAGCCCATTCACATCTCTGGGCCTCAGTTTTCTCATCTGTAAAATGGAGGCAGTCATGGTACCTATCACAGGGCTGCTGGGAGGCGCAAAGGCGATCATGTGTTAGAACGTTCTTTATAAAAAGATGAATTGGTCCCAGATCACCCAGGTCACAGAGTGGGGCAAACAGACTTGCCAAGACCATAATAGCTAACAATGCATATTGCGGAGTAAGAACCCAGATTCTGGGCCCCGGATCTACTGCCCCCGCCGGGGATCCCTTGCTCCTCTCCTTTCCATCCCTCCGTCTGTGTGACCCGCTTCCTCTCTCTGCTTCAACCTCGTTCACTCCTCTTCGCTGTCTCTGCCAGGTCTCTCTGGACGTCTCTGGTTCTGTCACCCTCTGCCCTTCCCGGGCGGCCGAGCCCCGGGCGACACTAGGGCGGACATGCACCTAATCCGAGCCAGACGCTGGCGGGTCCTGCGCGGTGCGGGACGGGAGGGGACGCCCGCCGCGCTCGGCCTTCCCGGTCCGACCCCTCCTTTGTAATTTGAATAAAACGCCTCCCCGCCCGCGCGCAGCCTTAACCCGCCGCGTCGCTCTCCCCGACTGCAGGCGGCGTGCGCGCAGGACCCGCGGCGGTGGCTTGCAGGCGGCGGGACTTCGGAGCGGCTCCTGCTGGGTGCGACTCCCGGGCGCGCCCGGCGCGAAGATGAGGGCGCGGCCGCAGGTCTGCGAGGCGCTGCTCTTCGCCCTGGCGCTCCACACCGGCGTGTGCTATGGCATCAAGTGGCTGTGAGTAGGGACCCTGAGTCCACGCCGACGGGCCTGGGGCGGGCGGCTGGGGCGGCCGGGGGCGTTAAGGGGGCCCCCTGGATTGGGCGAGCGCCAAGACTCAAAGTGGTTTTGGGGTCGTGGGTAAGTCATTCTTCTTAAGCCTCAGTTTCTTCCTTTGTGAAGTGCTGTCCTTACCACCACCACCACTGCACTCCGCCGGCTTGCGAAGTGGGTGAGGGAATTGTCTCATCCTGGGCAGCTGAGGGTTGACAAAGGCCACAGAGGTGCGGCTGGTCTCGGCTGGGCTGCTGGAAAACCACATCCTGTCCTGGGGACGCTATCAAGTGGGTCCGCTCGCGGTGGCACTCAGGGGTAGCTCAGGATCCTTTGCTTGTCAGCCTCCTTGACCCTAGCTGGAGGTCTACAAAGACAGTCTTGACGCCTCCACCTGGGTGACTTTGGGGACGTGTCACTCCACCCCTGGAAGCCTCAGCGTCCTAGGTCTATCGGGGCAGGATAACACTCTCTGGGTCACTCAGATCCGATGAGCAGAGGCTCCTGAGAGGTCCTTCCACTGTTGGGGGTTCGCACATGTGCTGGGGTTCTGTGGGTATAAACGATCACTGGGGAACAGTGCTGGGGTGCATACCTGGTTCCACAGCAGCACTGCCCTGCTCCCAGCTGCTGAGGAGTGCAGGGCAGGGGAGCGAAGCCCAGCCCCTTCCTGGGCCACCCCAGAGATAAGCCCAGGCTGTAAATAACTCCGCAAGTGTCCAGTGCCCTAGGAGAGACCAGCGTCCTGTTCTGGGGGCCCAGAGGTCGCTCCTCCCTGGTGGTTACAGAGGGAGAGTTTGGCAGGTGGGAGTGGAGGGGAGGAGGGAAGGCTGGTGGGGGGATTCCCGGAGCAAAGGGCCAGGGGTGGAAAGTCCAGGACAGGATGTAAGCCTGGAGTTGGGGCAGGGGCAGGGAGCCTGCAGATAAAACAGCAGGGGGCAGATTATGGGGGCTGGGAGGGGCTCTGAGGAGGGTTTGTGGATTAGCTGGAAGACTGGGTGATAGCACTGGCCGCCAGCAGTCTTGAGGTCACTGGCCCTGCCCTTCTGGGCCAAGTTATTGATTAATTCATGACTCAAGAGAGAACCCCATTTTCCTGTACATCTTGGTTGCAAGGAGGAGGCTGGTGGGTGGTCTCCAGCCTTGGCATATGGGCTCCTCCCTGGTGAGTTTTGAGAAACCACCACCCCTCCTGCTGCAGGACACCCATGTTCACACTTCCAGCAGGCAAGGCTCTGAACAGTGAGGGAAGCCCCCTTACCCACCACCACCATTTTACAAACAAGGAAATGAGGCCCAGCGAAGGAAAGGGTTTGCTGAAAGGTGCAGGGGGACTCAGAGGCTGAGAACTGGGCTTGAATGACATTTGCTGCTTATAGAGTTCTACTCTACAAAGGGAAAACTGAGCCTCTGAGACCCATGGGACTCACACAGCCCTAAACTGGCACATGGCAGGGTAAGTGGCTCCTAAGCCCAATTCCCAGCTTATCCCCACTGCACAGAACAGACTATGACACAAGTGGGCGCAACTTGGCTTCTGCTTTAAAGACGCTCCCAGCCTCTTCGAGGAGATGGGTGTGTAACAGCACTGGGTGGTGGGCCATGGTCTGTGTCCAGGTTGAGGGAGCTGGAGAGGGCCATGTAGGAGGAACAGCACCTTAGAGAGACCAGGATCCACAAGCACCTGCTAGTCAGTGTCCCAACACAGTTCTGGGAGCGACGGTCACCAGGTTTGTTAATACTCCATATGGTAGGTGATAGTCTTATCACTACCATTTTACAGTGAGGAAATTAAGGCACAGAGAGGGTAAGGAACTCCTCCAAGGTCACATGGCTAATTCATGATGGCTGCAGGATCAGAACTCAGGCAGAGGGCAGTTGGTCTCCATGAGGCCAGCCCTCAATAATGGTTGAATTCTTTCTAGAGCTGAACATGAGGTGGAATTTAAGAATAGCAGTGTGTGTGTATGTGTGTGTGTGTGTAGTAGTAGTAGTAGTGGTAGTGTTTTATGTATGTGGTTTTATGTAAATGTCCTGATCTGTGCTGTGGTTTCTGCTGTTAACCCTCCCCCCTCCTACTACTGTCCCCCCCCCCCAACCGCTGCACACAAGAAGAAATAGAGGCCTGGGAGTTCTTTAACCAGCAGGACTTTTCGGCCAGTGGGGAATAAAAGTGGGATTTGAGGTGGGCTGCCTGGCTGAGGCTTGTTGGTGGCAGGAAGCCCACCCACTGTTGTCCCGGAGGATGAGTTCTGTTCTGGGGCAGTTGTTCTGGGCTTTAGAAAGTGACCTGGAGATCGAAGGGATATTTCACACAGGAACTGAAACCAAATGTGGCTGAGTGACCTGGGGTGCCCATCTGCTGGGCTCTTGGGACAGTCTGAGCAGGTGGGTTGGGGGTAGGGGAGTAAGGCAAAACCTGACTGCCCAGAAATAACCTGAAGCCTTCTGAAACTTACCTTTCTAAGCCAGGTGCTGGGAGAGCACCAGATCAGCAAATGGCTAATCAGCACCCCCTTGGCTGCCCTGATAGAAGGGCAGAGTGTGGTTCATGACCCTGTGAACCCCTGTGGCTGCCTGATGAGAGAAAAGGCCCAGGCTGGGTGGGTCATAAAGGTTATCCCCTTCCTGGGCAGTGATGAAACTGTCACTCAGCAGGGGTGGGGCCTCTCGAAGGTTCCAAGTGACTCTGGAAGGGACGCAGCTGCTGCAAAGTGGAAGGGAAGGAGCACCAGACTGGGTGTCTGAGTCCCAGTCTGAGCTCCCCCAGGTCACCTGCCACCAAACGGGCCTTGGCCAAGACCTGCCTCCCTATGCCTCAGCCTCTGCAGCTGGGGTGGACAGAGTCCTGGCCTGGGATCTGGGAGGCATGTCTTCCTGCTCGGCTCTGCCTCTGATGGGCTGTGTCTGGGCCAGTCCTGCCCTTCTCAGGCCTCAGTTTCCCACTTGCACACAGGGAATTGACAATGCCATGGAAGTTGCTCACCGACTGTTTGATTGGCAAATCTTGCAGGATGGGGAGCATAGGGAGTTGGCATATGTAGGCCCAGGCAGGGGGTTTCTTCTGAGGCAAGGGCAGTGCTTTCTAGGCAGGTCTACATCTGCATGCCCCAGGCCTTTCATTCACCTCAGTTTCACTGCAGTATAGTGGTCCCTTGTGGCTCTGAAGAGGGACTAGGAGGACTTGCAGGCCCTATGCCCCTTCTTGAGCTGGTAGCTGCAGACCCCACCCAACCTGGTATGAGGGGAAGGACGGGCAGTCCTGAGGAACCCTAGTTCCTCCTACACCTAAGGGCTCACCAAAGAGACCTGACTTGTCATGGGGAAGAGTCTCCCCAAGGCCACCCCAGGGGCAAATGGAAACCTGCAAGGGGTGAGCTTGCCTGATGGGCCTAGAGCCCTGACTTCTGCTCTCCCCAACTTCCCTCGTGGGCCCAAAGGGTGGTGGGCAGGTGGTTCAGGGAACAGGATCTCCACAGACTCCACTGCTCTCCCACCATTGAGTCAGTAGAGTCCACAAAGGCAGGACTGTGGGGCTTCCCTGGGCAGGATTTAAGGGTCCCTATTATGGCCACAGTCATGCTAGGATCCTCCTCATCCTAGAGGTGTAGCTGTTGATGTCAGGACCCACCCCCAACCCAACTATGGCCTTCTTTCCATCTCTCTGTGCGGCATAGGCAACGGGCTAATTCTGAGTGGGCATCAGAGGCTTGTGAGCCCAGCTCTACCCAAGATGCATCTGAGTGGATGAGCTGGTACCACCCAGCCCTATGAGCTGCAGGACTGCAGAATGACAATGAGCGAGACCTTGGTTCAAGGCACTTAAGGCCTGGCTGCCAGGTCAGAAACTCATCATACAGCCTGTCCCCAGCGTCTGGAGCAGAAGGATGCTGTGGGGGGCAGGTTCAGGAGGGGAGCCTTTCACAGAAGCTGGCCTTACCTGAGCCAGGTTCCCAGAAGCTTCCTAGGTGTAGGAAAATAGCTCATTGATGGAAGACTGGACAGGGAGGGCAGGGAGGGCTTGCCACAGAACGCCAGCTGGAGATGACATGACCCTGCCAAGGCCTTAGGTGTGGAGGGCCACCCAGACACAGAGATGGGCTGACAAATGGAAGGGAGAAGGACTGTGGCTTGGTGGTGGGTGGAAGATGAAGCCATTTCCCTAGCTGTGTTGCCCGAAAAGGTTCTCGCCATTGGAGCAATGGACATGAGTGCTAGTGGACTAGGAAACTGAGGCTGGATAAGGGGAAGACTTGCCCAGGTCATGTGGTGGGTGAGTGGCTGAGCCAGAGCTTGAACCAGGAGGGCTCCAACTCCCCAGTGAGAGGAGCCCGTGGGACTACAGAACCCCTGGCGCGGCAGCGCCTGTGAACTCTCTGTTCCCTCCTGTCCTTTCCTCCACCCTCTCCCCCACATCCCCACCCCTAGATAAACCAAAATGTTTCCAATTAGGGGTCTGCTGGAGCAGGCAAGCCTGGAGAGATGTCCACACCAGTGACTCCCCCACTTTCCTCCTCAATCCTGATTACCTCCCCAAAGGGGATTTAGTTAGACTCGGTCATTACCACTAATCACCAGAGGACCACATGGCCCTCCCCTGCTCCTGGGCTGGCCACTCAGGCATTCCTGTCCCAGTCAGCAGCTCACTGGGCCCCTCTACTACCCCTGGCTCCCACCTCCAGGCACCTCCAGAACAGCTTCCTTTGGTCTTCCCACCGCTTCCAAAGCCAGCCCCATCTGGGAGGTGTCCTCCCGGCCAGCTGGGGAGGCTGTTGCCTGATGGCTTCAGAGAGGAAGCTGAGACCAAGTGGCTTAGGGGTTTGCAAGGACCCCAGTCAATGAGACAGAGGCACCAGGAGCACTGGGTGCCCCTCCCTGAGAGCCGCCGGACTGCACTCCACAGGAAAGGCTCAGCCTCTATCACCCTGCTTCTCAGCTGAGTGGGAGAACAGAAGGCCGTACCTGATTGAGCACCCACTGGGCCAAATGTCTGGTCTGCTGTCACTCTTCTGATCCTCTATTTTAAATGGCGAAAACTGGCCTGGGGGAAGGATGCTGGCAAGGGCGACAGGCAGAGTGGGCTCAGGACAGGCTGTGTGGACAGCCTGGTGCAGTGCAGGGAGACCCGCAAAGATAGGCCACACCCACCTGGAGGGGACAGCCTGCCAAGGAGAAGGGCTGGACTTGGGAGCTGCTAGACAAATGCTGGGCTGCCTGACTTCAGTGCTGAAGCTGAGCCATGTACACAGGGAGGGGAACCATGCTAGTCACCGAGAATACATGGAGGTAGACATTTGACTCTGTATGGTCAGAGCCCACCCAGTCAGGTCTGGGGGGGATGCAGACAGGCACCCCAGAAGGTGAGGCTAGTACCCCAGAATGGTTCCACTAAGGCTCACTATTTGAGGCCACTCTGTGGCAGGCTGGTTCTGGATGTTGGTGCCCAGACACACCCAGCATATCCTTGATCGTGGTTTATGGTGGGTATAAGCCAGGGCCACAGGGAAGGGGGACTGACCAGAACACCCACAGTCCATCTCAGGCAGACTGGGTTATGGTGTCCTCACCACAGACACTGGGCCAGGCCCTCTGTCTTCTGCCTGCCCTCTGGGTCTATGGTAGGTTTATGTATTTGGGGGGGTGGTTATATGGTGGGTGGGGCATGGCAGAGGGAGAGACAGGAGGAAGTAAGCCAGTACTGGTACTTAATATAGTACACAGTACTTCATTCAACCTTTGCCTACACTTTGTAGTTGACACTCAGAGAGTAGCAGTTTCCCCAAAAATGCCCAGCACAGAGTTCAGGTCTGTTCACTCCCTTGAATCCAAGATTCACGTGGCACCAAGCCTGAATATTACAAAAGCCTGGAATTCATTATCTTGTTTAAGTTTCTCCATAGCCTTCTGAAGTAGAAATGGTCATTATAACAGATGAGAACCACGAGGCCCAGAGAAATTGGGTCACACAGCTGCTGTCCAGAGGAAAGCGTATGCTGTTCCTTTTGACCAGCCCAGAAGCTGGAACAGCTGGGACTTGCTTTCTCTCCAGTCATTAAACTAGGTTCCCCTGGAGAAAAGGATCTATGTCATGTTCATTACCAAAGGAGCCTGGGAAGTCTCAGTGCTTAGTAAAGAGTTCTTCTGTGAGTAGATGGAGTTCATTTATTCATTTGGGTGAAGGAAGGGAAAAGGCATTCCCGCCATCAGGACAACCTTGGGCAAAGGCATGGTGGTAGGAAAGTCCCTATCCCACTGGAAACCCATCGTGGGAAATACAGTTTATAGGTACAGACACTGAGGTCCAGAGAGAAGCAGTGATTTATTTAAGATCACACAGGAAGATAATGGCGAAATCTGGATTAGATGCTGCAAGTTTTCTAAACTCTGGATCATCACAAAATTGGGTGCCCTTTAACGTTTCAATGGCAATCCCTTGCGGGGACATATATGAACTTTACGACTTAACCAAATGGGTTTGGTAATTACACGCAACAATGAAGTTCCTAGCTCATGTCTGTACAGTGATGAATCAATTAGTCATATGGGTAGTTATGATTATAATAATCTAACAGTTAGCATTGTTTCTGGCACATAGCTGCTCAGTGCTGAGTGGATGTTGATTAAAAAGTAGTAATTCACAGCTGCATGAGAACTGTTAGGCAATGGACGAGCTGGCATTCTGAACCTCAAAAGTGTTTCTTGTTAGTACAATTTCCATACACCTTTGGTAGGATAGGGGTTATGATCCTATGCATGGCTAGGGCCCAAGACCCAGAGAGGGACAGCGACGTGCCCAAGGTCACACAGGGGCGGGAGAGAAAAACCACTGCTCTGTCAGGTGGGGCTTCCAAGAACGGCCCCAGGGTCTACTGAAGGGAGGGCTGTACCAGTAGGACGGTGGAGACCCCTCGCCCTTCACATCCTGCCTTTTTTCCATTATTTTTGGGGTGTAGAGCACTGTCCAAGACGCCGGCGGCCCTGGCGCTGAACCAGACACAGCACTGCAAGCAGCTGGAGGGCCTGGTGTCTGCGCAGGTGCAGCTGTGCCGCAGCAACCTGGAGCTCATGCGTACCATCGTGCACGCCGCCCGCGAGGCCACGAAGGCCTGCCGCAGGGCCTTTGCCGACATGCGCTGGAACTGCTCCTCCATCGAGCTCGCCCCCAACTACCTGCTTGATCTGGAGAGAGGTAGGGGCTGGCTGCGGGCCGCTGCATGTCCGAGGGAGGGGGTGAGTGGGTCCAAGCAGGATCTGCGTGTTTGGATAGGTGGATGAATTCAAGGGTGGATGGATTCATAGGCTGTGGACGGATGAGTGACTAAGTGGATGGATACGCAGATGAACAAGGCACGGCTGGATGGACGGATGGACCATGAGTCATTCATAGATACAGGTTTTCAGGCATGAATTAGTGAATGAATAAACACCGATGAGTGAATATATCAGCGCAAATGAATGAAGGAAGAATGATGGCCGTGCTGCCCAAAGTGGCTGCCTGCTGAACTGAAGGCCACACGTGAGGGAGGCTCCTGGGAAGGCAGCATATATGGACACCTCTGTAGAGCCGCCCCCTGGGGCAAGGAGGTGGTCCCAGGAGGTTCTAGACATGGCGGGTGGAAATTGCTGCGATGCACATAGCGGTGGAGGCAGAAGAACAGCTGTGAAGCAGACTTCCTGGATGAGATGGGTGTGGGGCCCCTGGGGAAAACAGAGAGGCTTTTTCCAAGCACAGACACCCCAGTGGGTCTCATCTCTGCCCTGCATGTTCAGAACTCTCGTGGATCCTCAGTGTGGCAGCCCTCCTTCCTTCCCCAGTTATCTGAATGTCAGGGTAAGCCTACCAGGGGGCTGTAATCACTGTGTTCAGCAGTGAAGGAAACTGAGGCTCCAGAAGGTGAAGCAACTGCTGGTTAAGAGACAGAGCCAGGGCCAGGGCAGCAGGGCTGCTGTCACTCTGGCTGTCTTCAAACAGAAGAATTACATTGTCTCAGGCCAGGGCCTGTTATCCTAGCACTCAGGAGGCAGAAGCAGGAGGGTATTGGGCAACCTATTTTTTCCATAAGAAAAAAAAATACAAGAAAAAAGAAGCGTGTGTCTCATTGTTCTGGAGGCTGCAAGTGTGCAAATGAGATCTCTGCAGGCCCCAGGAAAGGCTTCTATGCCTGTTCCCAGCTGTGGTGGCTAGGGGCATCCTGGGTATACTCCGACCTCTAGCTGCATCATACATCTCCTGTCTCAGTTGTCATAAGATGTTCTCCCTAGATGTGTGTCTGGGCCTCCAGCATCCCCTCTACAAGAGGGCACCAGCGCTTGGCCAGGGTCCACCTGATCCAGTGTGACTTCATCTCAGCAGGGTTACATCAGCAAAGGCCTGATTTCCAAATAAGGTCACGCGCACAGGTACCAGGGATCAAGACTTGAATGTTTCTTGTGGGGGGCACAACTGAACCCCAGCACGCTCTCTGCACACTCAGCTGGACATGAGTTCGTGGAGGAGCTGGGGTCCTGGGCCTTCATTCATATAAGCAGCTCTTGACACTGCCATGTGGAGCATGGGGCTGAGAAAGCAGGGAGGATGTGACCTTGGGGTACAGGCAAGAGTGGCAGGCTAATGGCCCCAGTGTAGTCCTCCACCACACTGGTGACAGTCCCTGCCCCTGCGTGGCCCCTCTATGAATGGAGTGAAACAGAAGGGCCTCAGGCCTGGGTTAGTTCTATCCCTGGGTCCACCACCCCGCTGACCCGCACCTCTCACCCTACAGGGACCCGGGAGTCGGCCTTCGTGTATGCGCTGTCGGCCGCCGCCATCAGCCACGCCATCGCCCGGGCCTGCACCTCTGGCGACCTGCCCGGCTGCTCCTGCGGCCCAGTCCCAGGTGAGCCACCCGGGCCCGGGAACCGCTGGGGAGGATGTGCGGACAACCTCAGCTACGGGCTCCTCATGGGGGCCAAGTTTTCCGATGCTCCTATGAAGGTGAAAAAAACAGGATCCCAAGCCAATAAACTGATGCGTCTACACAACAGTGAAGTGGGGAGACAGGTAACCACCCACCCCACCCACCCCAGATGCTGCGCTTGTGCCAGTGGCCAGAAAAGGGCCTTGCTGGGCCCTGGTGAGGGGGCGGGGGAGGACCAGCCCTGACTGCCCACACCCCACGTGCATACCTTGCGATCTCCCTCTGCTCTTCCTCCTCCAGCTGCTTGGGTTTGCCTGGTCCCTCCTCCTCCAGGGAGGTCCACAGAGATCCCAGTTGTCCCTCTGTGTGGAAGGAACCCTGAGCTAGGAGTCAGGAGCTCTGAGCTCTGGTCTTGGCTCTGTTTCACTTGACACTGACTGAATGGCAAGTCACTTCCTCTCTGGCCTCAGTTGGTCCTGTCTATAAAATGGTGATTGGATGCTCAGCCCCCACCCCCAACCCCCATGATCCTTAGCCCTTCCTCCAGGGCATGGAAGGGGCTGTGGGCCACTGAGCCTTACACTAGGAGTTATCTACTTGGATTTAACAGGAAGTCCCTTCCAAAAGCACCCTAACCTCTTGAACACCACTCTCAGGCATCTACTATTTCCAGTTTTTCACTAATTCTTCATCTATTGCACAAAAAGCTAGGAGAGTGTGTGAGCGAATGACTAGACCTTTCTAGTTTTTGAAAATTTAAAACTAACTCATGCCAATCCATGGCTCAGATACTGCGCTGGATGCTTAATTGGTTTTCTTTTCCATGGTCCACCAACAACTCCAGGCAGGCTCTCTCATCCCCTTTTCACAGATGGAGAAGGGCCCCAGGAGGCCAGTGTCCTGTGCAGTGGCATCTCCCACATCCCTTAGCCCATTTTATAGAGGCACCAGGTGAGGCAAAAGGATGTAGGTGTCTCAAACAAGGACATACAGCTTGAGGGAGCCAGGTCTATGAAACTCCATGTCCTCACTTCTCACTGGTCTCCCTTGTGTGAGGATTCTAGGATATTCAGGTCATCCTTGAACAGTCTGGGAATCTGAGGGCAATCACACTGTGGGTCTGTAGCAGAGCCTGGCCAGAGACTCAGCATTCCTGTCTCCCAGCCCTGAAACCTGCTCCTCTCATGGAATCCCAGTGAGAGTCCTTCACCCAACCCCACTCCCATCCCATGTCCAGTCTTGAGCCTCCTCTTGCCAGGGTACAGACCCTCCCTCAGCCCCAATGACAAGGGTTTTCAGCCTCAGGACACGGGTTCCTATCCCAACCCAGGAACCAGGCCTGGTTTACCTTCCCCTGATGACTCCCAGACCTGACACCTGCAGTCCTGTCTACTTTATTCCTGTGCCCTCTTAGGCTTCACTCAGCAAATTCCCGACTTTATACCCAATGCACTCCCTCGGTCCCCACTTCCTGTCCTGTGAGGGAGAAAGAACCCTAGGACCTTGGCTGGCTCCCCCACCAACGCACTGAGTGATATTGGGAGAGTCCATATCCACTCTGCACCTAGGTTTCCCCATCTCTCTGATGCAGCGGGTGGACCTAGTGACCCATGACCCTTATAGTCTGGGAGTCAAGGAAGGCTCCCTAGAGGAGGAAACATGGCTGATCAGGCTGAGAGACTGGGGAGTGGCAGGGCAGGCAGGAGGCAGGCAGGAGGCAGGCCTGGGCAGGGAATCTGTGTCCTGTAGACAGGACTTGAAAGGTGGAAAAAAGCCCTTAGAAGGCCTCTAGTTCGCTTCTCAGGCATAAATGGGGAAACTGAGGCCTAGGGAAGATGGTGGGACCAATTCATCTCCAAAGCCAGGGATAGAGTCTGCCCAACCCCTAGGCCCACACTTCCCCACTCCCCACCACAGCTGTGATGGAGACTGAGTTTTCAAAGCCAGTTCGATTTAACTTTTATAAGCTCACAACCCCTTTCGTATATGTCATGTCATTTAATCCTTACAGGACTGATGTGCTGGCCCTGTGCCAAAGAGCACAGAGGCCCTAAGTGGTGATGAGCTTGCTAAGGGCCACCTGGCAGAAGCACTTCAGTGGAGGGGACACGCTAGCTGGGGGTGGCATGGGGAGGAGGGGCCCCAAGCACTCACCCTGCCTCTTCTTGCCTCACTCCTGTTCTCTCTTTTCCTCCCCAACCACCTTCCTTCCTGCTCTTCTTTGCTTCCAGCTTTTCGAGCAAGCATTTAATGAGCCCCAGTTTTATGGAAGAGAAAAGGTGTGGAAAATTAGAGGCCATCACTCTTGGCAGCACCCTCAGACATGGGTTTAAATCCCAGCTCCACAATTTTCTAACTGTGCAACCTTGGACATGAGAGTTAGCCTCTCTGAGTCTTCATTTCCTCTCTTTAAAGTGGGGAAGATAGTGAAAGGGCTGCAGTGGTGATAAAACCGTATTACATGTTAGTTATGTGGTATACAGTAGGCACTTGATAAGTGGCAGCTGTTATCCCTGCAAAGCCCACTCTCTTCCTGTCCCTCTCAGCTGTCCCCTGGGATGCAGCATGACCCAAACCCCTCTAAACCTTGGAGCAGATTGGTCCATCCCTGAGGCTAGAGTGGGTGGTGAGTCCCTGAGAGCATCCAGTCATGCGGTGGGGGCCAGGGTCCCAGGTAGGCCAGGGAGGGTGTCCTGCCACCCAACCCAACACTCTGCCTGTCTGCAGGCTCTGCGCGCCTCTCTGGAAATGAAATGTAAGTGCCATGGAGTGTCTGGCTCCTGCTCCATCCGCACCTGCTGGAAGGGGCTGCAAGAGCTCCGGGACGTGGCCACTGACCTCAAGACCCGCTACCTATCGGCCACCAAGGTAGTACACCGACCCATGGGCACCCGCAAGCACTTGGTGCCCAAGGACCTGGATATCCGACCTGTGAAGGACTCAGAACTCGTCTATCTGCAGAGTTCACCTGACTTCTGCATGAAGAATGAGAAAGTGGGCTCCCACGGGACCCAAGACAGGTAAGGGCTGCGCCAACAGGGCAGACACTGCACCCCAGCTTGGGGCCAGGCATACAGTGGTGACTTGGTTCACATTTGAGGCATGAAGTACCTGTCCAGTGGAGGGAGGGAGCCAGTGGAATGCTGGGAGGAGATGGGAGGGCCCAAGGGGTCCCATGTAGAGCTCCTAGGAGAAGTGCCTCATGTACCCCTTGCCCTGGCCGAGACCTCTGGGAATGGAGGCTGGTGGGGGCCCTCAGCCCACCTTCCATCTAGATGGGAAGAGACAATGACTGTATAGGGAGACAGAGAACAGGAAAAAGGCAGCACAGTAGAGAACAGGTGCTCAGCAAATGTTTGTCAAATGAGCAGATGAAAGAGAAATGTCCTGCAACCTGCTTGTTGAGCAAAAGAGGAACTGAGAGGCACAAGGGGAAGTGGAGGCAGCAGCCAATAGTTGGCCATGCAGGAAGTCTGCAGAGCAGAAGGAGAGTGAGGTCTGCCTGGCTTCTCACTCCCAGAGGGAGGGAGCTCGCAGTGGTGGCTGCAGACCTACTGTCTGTCAGGTGGGGCTGGTGAAGGTCCAGGTGGGCAGCACTTCCCAAAGATGGTTCTGGAGAAAGCTAATCCTGAGACACTAGAAAGAGTTCTGTGATCAGTATGTCTAGGAGGCTTTCCTTGGCCCTCCGCAAGGTGCAAGGGCATATCGAAGGCCCTGGGGAAGCCACAGTAAAGGATCGATTAAGCTGGTATTTCCCAGAGGTGCTTGACTGGGGAACTCTTTTATTAAGGAGCCCCTAATAGCATTCCACAAAATTGGTGCTCAGCAAGGTTAGAGGAATATTGAGTGGAGAGCGGGTGTCTGGGAACATGTCTGGCACATAGTTGGTGCCCTGCCAGCATCTGCTTCCTCCGCAGCCCACGTTCCTGCCTCCAGGAGGGGAGGGTGGTTTGTGGCTCCATCCCCACAGGCCAGGGCAGCAGGCTCCGTGAGGAGGCCCAGGCTCCCATCTGGAGGCCAGATTGAGGGGGTTGGCTAAGTGAAGGTGGAACAGGTCAGGCCAGGGAGACAGGAAGGAGCCAGAGTCTGGGCTGGTATGAAGATAGGTGTGAGGAACTGGGGAGGGGAAGAAGATTCTAGAACACAGAGGGGCTGTGTGCAGCCCACTGAGGACCCCAGAGGGGAGAGAGGTGGATCGTGAGTGACTGTGTGTCAGAGAAGGGCACAGCTTTCTGGATTAGTGAGCTTGAACATGGCCATCATAGACCCGAAGCCTAGCCTTACTTTCTTAAAATGGGGATGACAGAACTCCAGGTTTACTTCTCCAGCATTACCTCTGGGCTGGGCGTAGGCTCCACCCATCTGCCAATCTCAGGCTGCCAGACCTCTTCCTTCCCAGCTGTCCTGCTGCCCTAGAACTTGCCCCATGCTGCTGATGGACAGGAACCCCACCCCACCTTAGCCTGCCCCCAGGTTTCTGGCCGCCCCTCTCAGGCCCTCCTCTGGGGAGGAGGCATCTGTGATGCTCAGCTTTCGCTGCAGTAAGAAATACCCCAGGGTCTCCATGGCCCTGCTTGCCCAGGAGGTGGGAAGAGACCACAGGAGCTCAGGTTGTACCAGAGGGCAGGAAGCCTAGGGTGGAGGAGAGCCTAGCAAGCCTGCCTGACCCAGCCTGGCAATCAAGGAAGGCTCCCTAGAGGAAGGAACATGGCTGATCGGGCTGAGAGACTGGGGAGTGCAGGTGTCTGCATGTTAAGGAGCTTGCAAAGTGTTCAGCATGTGCAGTTTGCAGCTGTGGAGGCTGGCTCTTGGCCTGGGGAAACTGAGGCCTCATCTGCAGTCAGAATGCCAAACCTTAGCCTTCTTTCCGTGGTTCTTCCAGAGGCCTGCAGCTCCAAAACCCACCCTCCTTCCCACAGCCTGTGCCACCACTTCCCAGGCATCTTGCAGTCCTTCTGGGGCCCACGGCCCCAAATACCCCAACTCCCAGCCCCAATCACCACCACAGGCCTTCAGACACTCAGGTCAAGGGTGAAGTATTAGAAAAGGAGCTCTGCTGCTTTCTACCGCACAGGAAGGACTAGTCGGCCAGGGACTGGCAGATGGGACTGGGGACATTTGTGGGTGGTGAGTGACTAACCAAAGCCTAGAAAAGTTAGGTGACTTGTCTTAAGTCACCAGCCAGTGAACAGCAGAACCGGGATTGGAACCTAGGTCTGTCTGGCCTAGGGCATGTGTTTCTTCCTGCCATTCCCCCCTGCCTCCTGCATGGTCCCACATACAGGCTACCTGCTAACTCCCTGGAGCCTCCCCTGCTTTCCCCTGGCCCCTTCCAGCCCAAGCCTGACCCCCTCCCAGTCTTCTCCTGGTCTCCCTGCCCACCCTACCTTCCAGCTTAGCTCTCACTAAGCTGACACCAGGTCCTGTGCCTTTGCCAAGGCTGTTCCGTTACCCCAACACCCTTCCCCTCTCCTGGGGTTAGCCATCTTACTTGAACTCACCTAGCTGACCCCTCCTCTTCTGGAAGTCTTCCTGAACACTCCAGACTCTCTCAGCCTGTGGACCTTGGCAAGTCCCCTCACTGTTCTCAGACTTAGTTTCCCCCATCAGTAAAGATGAAGATTGGATCACTGGAGGGAAGGCCACATGGACACCTGGATGCTGGGCCTTCCAGGATACACACCAGCCTCAGTGTTTCCATAGACGCTTATTGGAAATATAAGGGAAATCTAGGGGTACCCTTAGGTAAGAGGATCACCCCAATTTCCCTAAAGACCACACCACTTTCCAGAGTGACATGGCCAGTGAGCTGCCTAGCAGGGGTCACAGGAGCACTGTGGGGTGAAGAGCACTTACTGACCTCTGCTTCCCATCCCCCAGGCAGTGCAACAAGACATCCAACGGCAGTGACAGCTGCGACCTCATGTGCTGTGGGCGTGGTTACAACCCCTACACAGACCGCGTGGTCGAGCGGTGCCACTGCAAGTACCACTGGTGCTGCTATGTCACCTGCCGCAGGTGTGAGCGCACGGTGGAGCGCTATGTCTGCAAGTGAGGCCATGCCCACAGCCTCTCCGCAGGGGCGCACTGAGCACCCGCGTGACCAGCAGGGACCTGATGACTCCCATGGACTTTCCCTGCAAATTCCAGATGCCAGGCGTGGGAGGAGGTTTGTGCCGTGTCTCCACTTAGATGTCAGGAACAGAAGGCCTGGTTGCCCTGAAAGGAGGGCCAGGACATCAAAGGAAACCGGCAGGATTAAAAATAACCTGGCATCCTGAGGCCCTGGAGTGCCACATGCTGCCTTCCAGGCTGGCCTAAGAAGCCTGCAACGAGGGATGGGCAAGACTGTGCAGACTTGGCCTTTCTGGCCCAGAGAGACCAGTCTTCCGGAATGTTCTGCAGGGCCCTGGGCCCATCACATGGAACCACTAGCTTGGGTTGTAAATGTTTTTTGTTTATTTGTTCTGTTTTGTTTTCTTTTTTTTCCTTTGGGATGTGGGAGCTACAGAAATATTTATAAAACATAGCTTTTTCTTTGGGGTGGCTCACTTCAATTCCTCTTTATATATTTTATATATATAAGTATATATATATATATATATATAATGATCCATATTTTAAACAAGCTTTTTAAACAGCTGTATGAAATAAATGCTGAGTGAGCCCCAGCCCGCCCCTGCAGTCTCTGGCCTCCTCAAGTAAACCCAGCAGTTCTGGGGCTGGCAGGGCGGACTCTCTGGTTTCCAGGCAAGGCGGCTTCCCGATTGATGTCCCAACTCCCTCCCATTCCCCCCACCCAGCCCTGGCCCCACTTTCCCTGTAGAATCTCTTGGTCAAGGGTGAGGACAGGCGTCTTGAAACATAAACCCAGCTGGCAGCATCTTTGTTCCTCAGGGATACACAGGCAGGCACTGCATAGCACAGCCAGCAGGCCATGTGGTTAGACCTGCTAAGCCAGCTAGCTGCAAGAGGAAAGCCACCCCGGGATGCTGGGAACCTCAGGGAGGTGGTGGCAGACCAAGGCTCCAGCTAACCCTTGTGGGTTTTCTCTGCAACCCTGGGAAAAGAAAGGAGGGAGAGAGGGAGGGAGGGAGGGAGGGAGGAAGGAAGGAAGGAAGGAAGGAAGGAAGGAAGGAAGAAAGAAAGAAAGAAAGAAAGAAAGGAATTTTGCCATTTGTAATACAGGGCTGGTGGTGAGGAAGGCTGGGAGGAGAGAAAAAACCCAGCCTCACACGCTTGGCCCAGGCTGGTGACTGAGAAGCGGTTGGATTCTGGTTCTGTATTGAAGGTGGAATCAACAGGATTTTTCTTTTTTAACATGGGGTGAGGAGGCCCAAGAAGGACTAGCAGGGTTTAGGCGGGAGCATGGAGGAGGATGGAGGGACAGAGCGTGAGATGGGATCGAGAGAGGACAGGGGTTCAGGTTTGGACACATGGAGATGGAGATGTGGGTTAGGCTCCAAGTGGAAACACTGAGCAGATGGGCAGACAATCGGGTCTGGAGTTCTGGGGAGAGGCCAGGGCTGATGAGAGATACATTTGATGTCATTGCCAAGTGGAGTGAATGGGCTCGAAAAGTTCAAAAGCCTGGGGCACTTCCACCTTTCCTTTACATGGAGAGATATAGAGGAAAAGGGGTAAAGGAGACAGAGGAACAGGAAGAAAGGAGACAGGAATCAGGTGGGGGTCTTGGCAAACTCCCAAGGGGAGCAGGAGGCACACTGGCCCCCTCTGAGCCCCTGCCAAGCGTTGGGTAGGGGAGTTCCTCAGGCCTGGCCTATGGAAGGTACCCCTAAGATGGAAGCAGTTATTAATCACTTCTGTCTTGCTCTGCCTGTGGGGAGACCCCACAAAACCAAGGATGTGAGAGAATGTTCTAAACAGTTCCTCTGTTTGGTTCCCACACATGCTGAGAGCAAGGGACTAAGACAAGGCCTGGGGGAGAGAAGAGCCTGGGAGAGGATTTGGTGAAGTGAAGCAGGGATCTCTGGAGGTGGGATGGCATGGAAGAACCCCTGGGGCTGGGCCTGTCACAGGGTGGGGAGAGGATGGGCATTTGTGGCCATTCTGAAAGCTCTGCAGAAAGCTTGCAGTGGGGGTGCCCTAGTGGTAGAATCACAGGCTGGAAGGAACCTCAAGATAAGTCTTCTGGTCTCCCTTCCATCTTTTTTGTGGATGAGGAAGTCTGAGATGGGAGGGGCTTTTCCTGCAGTCACAGCAGATAAGGGGCTGGGGGCAGGGTGGGATCCTTCCAGGGTGACCAGGCTAGTATCACTGCCTCCATTTTTCCTAGAGTGTGCTCCTTTTCAGGCCCAGGGCTCATTGGCCCCATGGCCCTCAAACCAGTCCCAGCTCTCAACTGGCATGCAAACCCATCTCCAAACCTCAAGGGACTCTTTCAGCCACATTTCCTGCAACTCCCCAGGCATCCCTGGGCTCCAGACACAGCAGAACTCTTACACCAGTGACTCGCAGTTGCCCACCTCTGGGCGTCTCCTGGTCCCTCAGCCCAGAATGCCAGTGTGCCTGTTGAAATCCCCTCCACAGCCCTCTCTACAAAGTCCTCCCAGCACTCTTGAAGGGATGGCTTCCTCCTCAGGCTCCCTACAAATCTTTGAACCTTTGAAGTAGCAGTCATGCTCCTCATCTGGTGGTCAGTCAATGCCATCTCCTCCTTCAAAGCCCAGCTGAACAGCCCTCTCCTTCAGGAAGCCCTCCCTGACCACCCACCATCCTCAGCCCAGGTAGGCCTCCCCTGGGTTCCCACAGCCTCTGTACTCTCTCTCACATGGTGCCAAGGCAGGGCCTCTACACTAGGGGGCCTGGTACACTGCATGCCTGGGACCTTTTCATGGGCTGGGCCTAGCCCTGTGCCCCTGCTGGGCAATGGGAGCTGAGTACAAAACACAGCTCAGAAATGCTGAATTTGGGATGCCTTTGGGCTTTAACCAGGACAAGGAAATGGGAAAACCAGGCAAACGATCCAGAATGGCTCTCAGGAAGGGTGGATATACCAAACACATTGTCCCAAGTCATCTTCACGGGAGCCTCTACCAGGTGGGGATTATCAGCATATGATAAGGAAACTGAGGCCCCAGAGGAGAGGGGCTTGTCCCAGGTCTCATGGAAAGTTCCAAGTGGAGTGGGGCTAAGATCAGGTGTGTCCTTTCTTAGGGTGGAAGGTAGTCTTTACTGGCCAGGAAGGGAGCTCTCAGTGCTCAGGACAGGAGGGCCACTGAGTCATGGAACCTGGTGCACTTGCCACTGGCCAGTCCTAGGCCTGTGACAAAGTCCAGTACCTTTCTGGCTGACTGGGGGGGGACTGGGTCTGGATGACTCTTCGTCCTGCCACGTCAGGCTCTAAGGTTGAAGTTGGGCTAAGCTCAGGCGAGGACAGGGTGGGACCTGCTTCAGTGTGAGTCACAAGAGCTCGGGCAGCTGACTGTGTGCAGAGATTTCAAGCCATTAAATCTTGGTACCTGGGAATTGCAAATTCCCCCATTAGAAGCCCACAGAGGCCCTGGGCTTTCAAAAAACTTGGACCCCTGGGAGCTGAACTTGTGGGCCCCTGATCTCTGTCCGGCAGGATTCCTCACCAGGCGGCATAACGGGTCATAATCCCAGAAACTCTGTGAGGCCCCAAGCCCTGCAGAACTGCGATAGCGCCAGCTATGCTGCACTGAGGTGGCTCGGACCAGTGTGGGAGGCTGGCTGGAGTCACAGGAGAAACCGGGCCTGGGGAGAGACAAGAAGGCGGCGGGGAGGAAACAGGAACTCTTGAAAAGAGGGAGAGATTAGTTTGGTGGGAAAGGAGAGAATGGACAGATAAGGCCCCAGGGGGAGGCCAGTTGGGGCCAGGGTAACCACCAAGGGGGGCCCAAGCCCAGCTCCGAGCAGCTCTAGCTGTTGTTCCTGAGACCACAGAGGCCAGCTGTCAGGGTACACAGACCAGGCCTCCAGCCCAATGCAGGTCCCAGCCCAGGACCCCAGACCCCAGAGAGGCCAGATGGGTGACTTGCTGTGTGACCCCAGGCAACCACTGTCCCTCTCTGGCCTTTTACAGTGGTTCTTATTTAATTCTTACAACACTCTAAGGGGTAGTAGGCCCTGTTGCTCTGTTTTACTGAGGAGGAAGCCAGCTCAGACAGGGAAGCACCTGGCCCAAGGTTACAGGTTAGCACAGTGCCAGGATTTGAGCAGTGCCAGGCTGAGCTCACTCTCAACCTCCACAATGGGCACCTGAGGGATGAAAGTGGATCTGGTTGGGTGTCACCTAGGAGGGCGGGAACAATTTAGGACTGAGTAGTTCCCAACGTATATCACAGGGTTTGGGAAAAGGCATGTGTGTGTGTGTGTGTGTGTGTGTGTGTGTGTGTGTGTGTGTGTGTACAATTTAGGACTGAGGGTTGAGGGTGTGTGTGTGTGTGTGTGTGTGTGTGTACAATTTAGGACTGAGTAGTTCCCAACGTATATCACAGGGTTTGGGAAAAGCCATCAGGTGTGTGTGTGTGTGTGTGTGTGTGTGTGTGTACAATTTAGCACACACACACATGGTGTGTGTGTGTGTGTGTGTGTCAGCCATACTTTCCTGCCCTGTCTTCTTTAGGTGAGCTGCTGGGCCTTCCATGGCTGTCCTCCAGACCACCCGTTTGCCTGTAGAGATGGCTGGCTGCAGGCAGAGCAATTTAACAGCCGTGTGTTTAATGGGTCCCCTTGCTCCTGTAGACCAAATCAATATCCGCTTGGCTCTCCAGGCCAGTGCTGCTGAAGACATTCTCCTTATCGGTCCCCTGGTCCCCATTGCCTCACCTGCTGGGCCCCAGGACTGGGGTGGGGAAGGAGGAGGAGGTGGCAGGTCAGGACAAGAAGCCTGGACACCTCCACTCAGGCTGACAGGAGGACCAGGCATCCTCATGGCCAGGGCTGCCAGGTGAGGACAGGCCCTTGCGAGGGGTCCAGACTCCAGTGCTGCTGGACAGGGGCACAGATGCAGTTAAGATCTAAGTGTTTATTTTATGTCTCCACTGGCTTTGTGTCCATAAAAATGTACTGTGCTCAAGGGAGCCATGGAGCAGGAGTCTGCCTGAGAGGTGCAGGGCAGAGCCTGGCAGAACCAGTGACCTTGAAAGCTCCTTCCTGTTCCCTGTAGACTGTCAGGTTTTCTTCCATTCTGGGCCTCTACTGGGAAATGCCCCACATCCTAGGACTTCAGGAGTCCAGGACTCAAGGATGTTAAGAGTCCACCATGTCTACAATTTGAAGAATCCCAAATAGCCTGGTTTTGCTTTTCTCTCATCTCTGGTCTGCATCGCTCTGCCCACCCCCCATCACCTCCCCCAGCTGTCCTTACCCCAGCCAAGTGTCTTACCTATCTTGCCCCAGGGCAGGAAGCCACCTGATGCAGACCCTGGCTCCATTCTGCCCTGAGCATTTTTGGGCAGAAGGATGGGCAACATGGGCACCTGCTCCAGGGGACCAGGGATTCGTGCTGGTCTACCTGTTGTTCTGGCTGGATCTTGTCCTTGGTACTCTGAGTGAC